CCCCACAGTGCCCTCCCCAGCCCCCCCCCACAGTGCCCTCCCCAGCGGCCTCGTGCAGACGCACCTGCAGGTGCTGCTCCTCTGCATCACTTCCGCCCTGTGGTAGCCGGACAGCTTGCAGAATCCATCGTTGCTGTACACGATGGGCCAGTCCACTATCTGGGCATTCCCCAACACAAAATTAGTGTCTGTTCCAAAAAAAAGGAAAAGGACAAGGGCACATGAGGCGGGACACCAGGTGACATGAATAATTCCAACCAGCCTTGGTGACTATAATTCCCTCCAAAACAGCCTCTCAGAACGGGGGCTCCGGGGAGGATAAAAGAACCAAACTTGGACCTGAAAATTCTGAGTGCAACTGCCACCCAAGGTCACTGTACGCTAGGAAAGGGCTTAGTCGACCAGCCCAGGAACCCGCAGAAATTGTTCGCGAATTTCTAGAGACATAGTCAAGTCTGAATTTTTCATCCCACTGAAAGCACATCGGCAATACAAGGCAGGAGAGAAGCCAAAGCAGTCTCCCCTGGGCTCTGTCCGCATCTTAGCCCTGCCAGCCTCCTGACGAAAAGACACAAATTGACTTCGCTGACCCTGACTAGCACTGGTCTTTCTATGAAGGCAAAGGAAGGAGGATAGGGCCCTGCCTCACAGGACAAAGGGTGGGCGAGAAGAAAGCGACCAGACCCTCCTCCTGCAACTTCAGTCAGACCACAGAACCTCCTCACTGACTGAAACCCCACAGCCACGAATGGGACTGTGTGTCATCTGCCAGCCTCTCGCCCACGTGGGACACAGGGTTTAAGGAGGCCAGACATGCAGGTTTGGTGCATTCTCGCTACTTCTAACGGTTTTGAGAATCAAAAGTCACCAACACAGCCTGTACTCAGGAAATCATCTCAAGAATTTAAATTGAGCAAATAAAATCAGGGACTTAACATTATTTCAGCCTGGCACTCTCTTCCACACAGAACCATCTCATCTCACTCCCCAAGAAATACATGCAAGTTTTTGTTATAAATTGGAGAACGTGTATATTATATACATGTGTGAGTAAAATAATAGCTCTTCTCTAACTGGGGGGTTAATTTTGTTCTAGAATAGTATTTCTATGCATATGTGTATCTGTGTGAGAGTGTGGTATTCATGGTGTGTGTGTGTGTGTGTGTGTGTGTGTGTGTGTGTGTGTGTGTGTGTCACACGGAGGCCAGAGCTCGATCACTCTCCACCTTATTGTCTCTAACGGAACCTCGAATTTATCAATTCTATTAGGCTGTCCAACCAATGAGATCTGGGGAGCCACCTTCCCTACCCAGCCCAGTACAGATCACTGACATGGGCCACTGCTCCCAGCCACTTACATGGTGCTAGGACCAGAAAGCAGACGCTTGCACAGCAGGTACTTTACCAACAGAGCCATCTCCTCAGCCCTGGAATAGCATTTATAACTTGTTCACAGTGTCGACTACCCCCCTCCTGTCTTCATGGGGTCGGACAGGGTTCTCTAGTCTCCACAGACGCACTCACTTCTACATTGGGAGGTTTGTAAAGATGACTGCATTTCACATAAACACCACCAAAGACGGAGCACTTCTTCATAACTTGTGGACAAGGTAAGGGGAGGATGGGGGTGCACACCTGTGATCGCAGCACCTAGGAGGGAGGCTAAGGCGGGAGGGTTAGAGTGCGACCTCATTCTTAGCTACGTGTATTTCTTCAACACCAACTGTAGCTCCATGAGACCGTGTCTGAAAAAAAAGGAGTCGGGGGCGGGGGGCAGGGGGACTGGATCGATGGCTCATGAATGAAGAGCTGACGTCACAAGCATGAGGACCAGAGCACAGATCAGAGCCTGCATCGAGTTGGATGCAGTAGCGTGCATCTCTATAACCCCAGTACACCTATGGCAGTGGTGTACTGGGATACACCAGTGGGGGCAGGAGACAGCAGCAAGGCCTTCCCTGTCTCAAAAGGTGGGAGGAAGAACTGAAACCTGAGGTTGATCTCTAACCCACCCACACAGTGAACACTGACACACATACAAACATGCACACATGCACACACATACACACACTTTTTTTTTAAATGGGCCAGCAGGATGGCTCTGTGGATAGAGATGCTTGTATGAAGGACTAGTGTCCTGACTTTGATCCCTGGATTCGGCAAGGTGACAAAGAGAACCAACTCCTAATAGTCATCCTCTGATCTGTCTGAACATGGACACACACACATGCACACACACACACACGCACACACACACGCACACACACGCACACTCACATGCACACACACGTGCGCGCACACACACACCTAATTAATCTTTAAAAATTTTTAAGCAGCATTTTTGTCTCTTTTTTTTTGAGGCAGGGTCTCCCTGTAGCCCCAGCTGTTCTGGAACTCACTATGTAGACCAGGCTGGCCTTGAACTCACAGAGATCCGCCTGCCTCTGCCTCCCAAGAGCGGGAATTAAAGGTGTGCGCCACCACGTCCAGCTATATTATATTTATTGTTTTTATTTTATGTCTATGAGTGCATTGCCTGCATGTGTGTGAGTGCACCCGTGTCGCGCAGCGCAGTGCAGTGGAGGTCAGAAAAGGGCTTCGGATTCCCCTGGAACTGAAGTTAAGGATGGTTCATAACCACCATATGGGTGTTGGGAATCGAACCTAGGTACTCTGCAAGCGCAGACAGTGCTCTTAACTGCTGAGCATCTCTCCAGCCCATTTTTTTTTACTTAGAAGAAGCATTTCATACAGCAGCATTGACATATTCAATAACAATTTCCTGAGCTAAGATGCATCTCTTTCAAAATTGGCTGTAAATTTTTAGGTTTACAGTTGAACTATTAGTTATACAATATTGTACTCAATAAACCCTATAAGTATAAACCCTATAAGACATAAAATTAAATGAGGTTTTAACCTTTAAAAAAGATCTCCATTTCATTATTAAAATACACAGTTTCATACAGAAAAATTCATTTTCAATGCAACTGACATTAAGATGTTTGCACATGTGTTTCTAATCTCTATATATCTGATTATTACTAGTGACAGTCGGTTACTTTCTGAGATCCTTGGCATCTAAGCGTGGATATAAAGTCGTCAGGTAGATTTCAATGGTAATGTTTTTCAGATCTACAAATTATTTTTTATCATTTTTTTAATTTTTAATAACTACATGATTAGAAGAAGCATTTCATTACAGCTTTAATATATTCAGTAACAATTTCCAGAGCAAGGATACATCTATTTCAAAAGTGACTGTAAATTTTTAGTTTCATAGTTGAGTTAATACAGTTATACAATATTGAACTTAGTATAAACCCTGTAAGACATAAAATTGAATGAGTTTT